TTGCTGTCATTCGGAACCGCTACATCGATCACTACGGCCGTCTTCTTCTGTTTGTCTACCACCACTATGTCTGGTTGGTTAGCCACCACCATTTTGTCCGTCTGTATCTGGAAGTCCCACAGGATCTTAGCTCGGTCATTCTCCACCACCCTTGGGGGCATCTCCCATTTTGACCTCGGGACTTCCAGGTTATACTCGGCACAGATGTTCCTGTACACTATGCCGGCCACTTGGTTGTGGCGTTCCATGTATGCCTTGCCTGCTAGCATCTTGCACCCTGCTGTTATGTGCTGGATTGTCTCTGGGGCATCTTTACACAGCCTGCACCTGGGGTCTTGCCTGGTGTGATAGACCCCAGCCTCTATGGATCTTGTACTCAGAGCTTGTTCTTGTGCTGCCATGATTAGTGCCTCTGTGCTGTCTTTCAGTCCAGCTTTGTCCAGCCACTGGTAGGATTTCTGGATGTCAGCCACCTCTGCTATCTGCCGGTGGTACATACCGTGCAGGGGCCTGTCCTTCCATGATGGTTCCTCCTCTTCCTCCTCATTCTTGGGTTTCTGCTGCCTGAGGTATTCACTGAGCATGTAGTCGGTTGTGGCCATCTTCCTGATGTATTCATGGATGTTTGTTATCTCATCCTGGATTTTGGTGCTGACACTCACCAGTCCCCGGCCTCCTTCCTTCTGCTTAGCTTACAGCCTCAGGATGCTGGACTTAGGGGGGAAACCTGTCATGTATGGTCAGGAGCTTCCTTGTCTTGTCAGCAGTGGCTTCTATCTCCTCCTTTTTCCAGCTTATATATCCCAGCAGGGTACCTGATCATAGGCAGGGCGTAGGTGTTGGTAGCCTGGATTTTGTTCTTACTGTTCATCTGATTCCTCGGGACTTGCCAGGCCTTCTGCAGGTACTTAGTGTTTGCAGCTTTCATAGCAGCTTCTTCATTGTTGCCATTTTCCTACGGTGCATGTGTGTGTGAGTGTGTGCAGCGGCTCTACTCTGAGCCCCTCCTGGATGGCTGAACTTCTCACCCTATCTCTAACGGAGAGGCCAGCCACCCTTCAGAGGAAGCTCATTTCCACCGCTTGTATCCGCGATCTCGTTCTTTCGGTCTCTACCCACAGCTCGTGACCATAGGTGAAGGTAGGGACGTAGACCCACCAGTAAATTGAGATCTTCGCTTTTATATTCAACTCTCTCTTCACCACGACGGACCGGTACAGTGTCCGCATTACTGCAGCCACAGCACCCCGCCCCTTTCTCCCATCACTCGTGAACAAGACCCCGAGATGCTTAAACTCCTCCACTCTGGGGCAGGAACTCGTCCCTGACCTGGAGTGGGCACTCCACCCTTTTCCGGCTGAGGACCATGGCCTCAGATTTAGAGGTGCTGATTCTAATTTCCACCGCTTCACACTTGGCTGCAAAGCCTTCCAGTGCAAGCTGGAGGCCACCACCCGATGAAGCCAACAGAACCACATCATCCACGAAAAGCAGAGATGAGATTCTGAGACCACCCAAGTGAAAGCCTTCCACCACTTGGCTATGCCTAGAAATTCTGTCCATAAAATTATTACAAGATTCGGTGATAAAGGGCAGCCCTGGCAGGGTCCTTCACCCACTAGGAACAAGTCTGACTTTTTGCTGGCTATAGGGACCAAGCTCTTGGGCCAGACACCCCATACTTCTACAGCACCTCGCACAGGACACCCTGAGGGACATGGTCGAATACCTTCTCCATGTCCACAAAAAACATGTAGATTGGTTGGGCAAATCCCATGTATCCTTAAGTATCCTTGAGAGGATAAAGAGCTGGTCCAGTGTACCACAACCAGGACAAAAACCGCATTGTTCCTCCTGTATCTGAGATTTGACTAACGGGTGGACTCCCCTTTCCAGCACCCCGGCATAGACTTTCCCAGGAAGGATGAAGAGTGTGATCCCCCTGCCACAGATGTTTCTGTGGTGCATTTTGCAACTCTTTTTCCTGCTTATTACACAGAATCAACTAATTGGGTGGTAATAACTAAGAAATTACCATATTATTTCATTCTTGTTTGGACCTTGTTTTAGCTGTGGTAGCTACCTGGGTTATGTGCAACTTCAGTATCTCAATGTACTATTGCTGTGTGATTTATTAGTATTACTAAAGGCTACTCGCCACCGAGCTAACATTGTTAGCTGAGGTTAGTTCATAGACTGCGGACTGTTAGACTCGATGGACAGCATTAACAACCTGCTAGCTGTAAATAATCATGTGCAGTTCTGAAAACAGACAAAAAGAAAAAATATTACTGATACAGAAATAGTTTTCTATATGGGAAAGCTGCAACAAGTGCAGCCTTACCTAATATCCACCCTACTGATACTCATATAATATTAAGATTTAAAAATGTAGTTGGTGGCAGATGGCCAGAGGTTTCTTCCTGTTAAAAGGGAGTTTTTCCTTCCCACTATCACCAAAGTGCTTGCTCATAGGGGGTCATATCATTGTTGGGTTTTTCTCCGTATGTATTATTGTAGGATCTACATTACAATATAAAGCAGCTTGAGGTGACTGTTGTTGTGATTTGATGCTGTATAAATAAAATTTAATTGAATTGAATTATTAGTATGGCGAGTAACCTTCAGTAATCGTAATAAATCACACAACAATAGGACATTCATGTAGTTGTAAAAAGCATGACAATATATCAAGTAATCCAAAGTATTCAGAATACGTTACTCACATTGAGTAACTTAATGTAAAATGTTACAAACTACATTTTGGGCCATGTAAACTGTAATCTGTAGTGGAAATACATTTTAAAAGTAACCTTCACAACAATGGTTATGGATTTCAGGCCTATTCAAATGGATAAGGAGCTTCATCAACATACTCAAAACCACAATAGAAATGCAGTGTGAAAAGTAACATTTTACCGGCATCTTCTTCAGGATCTTTTGGCTTTGTTGCAGTGTAGAAGCATAACATTGTCAGCCTCACTGCCTCATACATATTGTCAATAGACTGTCAGGTGTGATCAGTGTTGGGATTCAGAGATTCTTTTATTGCTACCATATAATTTGCCTTATGAAGAATGTATTAATAACATGTTTCACAGTATCATTTATCAGTAATATTTCCTACAGGGTTTATATTGCATTGAATATGTCTGTCATCACATTGACCTTTCTATTTTTACAGGTTGAGTTCATTCTATACACAATGCATGAATGTGCTTGGTTAGAGTTGATGTTCCATTCTAGAAGGTTTTAAGCTTCACTGGTGAGAGTGTCCAGATGATACATGCTGAGGGGAGATGAGAACATAGCAGGTTAATTGCATGCACGCTTACGATACACATATTAATCTAGTAGCAGGTCTGAGCGAAGGCCTAAGCGTCTTCTGCTTCAGTTTGAGACTGGCTGCAAAGTACTCTACTTAGTGATTAATGACGAGGGTCCATTATTAGCTCTCAGAGATGCTGAGACCTGAAGTTATTACCCTAAAAGGCAAGTAATGTAGAAAAGAGAAGTTATATGTCGGTTTATGGTTATTAGAAGTGTACGTGATGTACCCTTGTCTGCACGGGTTGAACTTTTGCCCGTCTGTCACCATGTATTTTTGAACTGTATTGACGTAGGTGTGATATTTTATCCTATAAAACCAGAACCCAGTGTATTCTTGTCAGAGCAAAACAATCCGTATGCTGACGGTTGGTTGTTCTCCTGTGATAATAAAACTCATCGTTTGATTGCACTTTTCCGGAGCCTCCGTCGTTTGTTGTCTGGTCTAAAGTTGATCGATCTCGCAGCATCAGTAAGGTGGTTCTGTTTAAAGTCGCAAACGTCAAACTATTTCAGATCCCTTAGGAGATATGCCATTAGGAAAAAAAAAGTTTCTTTCCTTCCTGAAGAATATCTTTTAATCCAGCATCAGTGGCCATTTGAATTTTTCTAGTGCCACCTCCCTGCTTCGCTCTCACCTGTTTGGCTATTTTTCCATCACAATGTATCCATCCTATCTCAACATTGCGTGTTGCTTTTTGCTTCTTTGTCTGTCTTATTCCTGCATCTGTATGTGAAGTGTTCTCCTTTGGACTTTCTTTTCTGGTTTTCATTTTCTCACGAAGTTTTTGCAGAAGTCCTAGTTTTCTTTTTGACAGTGGTTGCTTGCTTTTGCAGAAATTGAAGACGGCAATTCGGTCTCCGTACGAGATGTAATTTGCCAAAGTTGCATCGCCATCAATCTGCACAAAAGAAGAAAGAAAAGACAGTCATTTTCTTTAATGTCTACACTGCTAAGCAATGTTAAGGTTAAGCTTCTTAGGTCACCACTAATGCCAGTAGGAAAGTACTGACTGTAGTAGCAGAAAAGCTATTTTATGCGGAGAGAAATACTAATGGAAGAAGCGAGCTAAGGCATAGCCTTTCAGTAAATTTAGCAATATTGTAAGTATTATATATATATAATATGTGTGTGTGTGTGTGTGTGTGTGTGTGTGTGTGTGTGTGTGTGTGTGTGTGTAATTCCATAACATACACTAATGTCACACAAGAGCAACTGTTTATAAACAATCTGTTTATGTTTAGTTTATATTATATTATATTATATTATATTATATTATATTATATTACTCATATGGGTAGGCAGCCAGCGTCTGTAATACAAAAACTGCTCATCTGCCGGGACCACTCAGCTCGGAAACGCCGAAAACTCACTGAAATCCGACATTTTTCTTCAGTGAGTTCATTCTGAGATTAAAGTCTTTTATGTCAGATTTCTGCCTTTTTCTCTGACTCGTGTTTGATGACCTCAGTAGTTCTAAAGTCCAAAGCTGATTAGGAGTACTGACTGCTAACAGACTGTGCCTGGGAGGGACTAGTATAGACCTTTATGTGTTTTTCGCTGAGAAACATAATAACAGTGACAGTAAACATGAGGGTTAAACTGCAGCATACACTGAACAGACGTGGAACATCTACTTAACCGGACTCCGGCTTCAATCTGCGCATGCTCTCTGCGGTCGCCAAACCTGGGGTTGTGGACACAGGGAGGGATAGAGGGCAGCGAGAGAGCGAGCGGCGACCCAATGAGCAACATGTTGCATTTTCTATGTCTTCTTTTCCACGATGCACTTTAGGATTTCAATAAGATGCGTGTGTGTTTCCAGATAACCAGTTTCCTTCTCGCCGTAAACTTTTACAGCCGGCCAGTGCGAGCTCAGGGTGAGTGTGTGCGTTATATTCTTAAACTCGACTAACTCAGATGTTCGTCTGCTTTAATGTTGTGCTGAAAAATCACTGACTGTGTTTATTCAGTGACAACTGGCACAACTGAGATGTACTAAGACTCCACTTTCTTCATATTCTTACAGCCGGATACTTTAATGTGGGTAAATTTAGATACCACACAAAGTCGTCATTAGGTTTTATTCTGAAACTTTAAAGTGTTTGTGTAAACGTCCAAACGTATGATTACGGTTCACTGTTGATAAATAACAAAGGTTGTACTGGTTCACACTGCAAGCTACCGCCCACCGAGGAATGTGTAAGTGTGGAAATAACGGTTTAAACACTCTCACACACACACACACACACACACACACATTTGGAAAGCTGGAGCTCCACAGTGATTGGAGATTTTCCTACGCGACAGGATTTAGTGGTAAATGTTGGGCGTGCGGCTTTTCCGATCATCTGAATAACTTTAATATTAGTGAAAGCATTCGTTAGCTTTACCCTCCTGCGAAACGCGACGCATTGAGTTGACGTCCTGTTTTAAATACACAGAAGCCTTCGAGCTTTTAAGGACAAAGATCAAAGTTAATCTAAACTCCTCCCAAAATGTATCCTTCTGTCATTTATGGATGTATGCTTTCAAAAGAGCAGATTTGTTCCTTGTGCGACAAATTACAGGAAGGAAACGGGGCGGACATAGTGGGTCGGGTGGGCGAGTTAAAAGCGAATGTGACGAGCAGTTTAACGTGTATATACAGAGCTGCTAGGAAGAAGTCTGTCTGTGTTTTATTTATCAGCAAAATCACTGTTCAGCTCGGCTTCTATAAATGTTCCCCAACACATGTGTACTTTAAATAAACAAAATGAAAATGTAGTCCGAGTTAGGTCTCTGTCTGTGGTGAGAAGGGCACCACAGATGCTGTTTGAATAAAAGAAAGAGCCCATGTAAACATGAATGAAGAGCCAGTCATTAATGCTTTTCATCAACTCTGTGGAACTTAGTGAGTGTCTTATCTAAAGGGGCTCAACTAGCAGTGTGTGAACTGGCGAGCGCTTTGATGTTCAGTGCACATGGGTGCAGGATGTGGATTTGCTCTGGCTAAATATCTGTTTTTTCACCACTTGCACATCTGTCCTCAACATGAAAGAAACAAAAGACTTAGATCCTCATTCGGGGTGCATATTGTTGGGCAGGCTGGCGACAGGAATAAGGCTCTCGCCATGTGTTAAAGTGATGACCGGCCTTTAGTTGATACTGTTTTCTTCGCACTTTGTGTAGAAATTCCACACATTATTTTTGCTCTGCTGAGTTTTTTGCAAAATTTCTCTCGTCTGCTCGCTTGATGTGATTCAGTTGTGGAGGCTGGCCATGAGAGAACGCATCTGGAACCAATTTGACTCCACGGAGCCCGAGGGGGAGAGGAGGGATGTAAATGGCAGCCCTTTTCTTTCCATGTCCACTGTGAGCAGACATGGGCCTGAGTCTCCGAAGCTTAATTATAGTTTGGTGAACAGCAGATTAAAGTGGAGCACACAGAGTTGCATTTCTTGGCCGGGGTTTGGAATATTGCTGGATTGACTCAGAAATAGATGGTTTCATCCAAACAGAAAAACATTTTTTGCTTTTTGTCAGACTAAAAAATCAAAGTTTAAAAAAATGAGAAAGAAATCCAAAGAAATGATAAAAGTAAACAAGGTTTGATTTGAGTTTAACAGGGCAACGATCTGTTCTCAAAACATGTAGCAGGAATTATCATTTTATGTTGTATCGATCCTTTCCCTGCCGCTTATCCTTTTAAAGGATTGTGGGGGGTCTGGAGCCTTTCCCAGTCAGGTGAGAGGGTGGGTACACCCTGGACCCTGTCTGTGTGTGCTTGTTTGTCTGTGTCTATATGTCAGGTCGGGTCTTACACTCCACCTCTCTGGGTACATCTCAGGCCCTCCAAAGTATGGAGGCCTATCTCCCCTCACCACACTCCCTGCCGGTGACTGATGCCCTCAGGGGTCGGTGCGTTGGTGGTTCTTGGTGTCCGGGGCTGGGCGCTCAGGTGTGTACCAGCTCACTCCCGGTGACTACTTGGCGGGGCCTGGTGCCTGTTGCTCGGTCAGGCCTCCTCCGGGGTGCGGGGGGCCCTCGGGCCTCCGGCCTCTGGGCCTGCGGCTCGGTTCACTCTGGCACAGCTGGCTGCCGGCAGAGCCGGCGGGCACACCACTGCAGCCCCCTCTCGCTTCTGCTCCATGGCTACTGGGTGCCTCCTCATCTGGGGATCTCCTCAGCTCCTCCCAGGAGGGTGGCATGGATGCCCCTCCAGTGGTCCTCCTTGGGCTCTTGTACTCTGGGGCCTCTGGATGTCTGGGGCCTGGATCTCCTCCATGCCTGCGTCATGCCTGGGGGACGGGGCTATGGCTCTCTACACCCTCTAGCAGATCATTACATGTGGAAACCATTTGAATACAAGTGCGCTGATCCACACAGGTGTGCACACGGGTGTTCACTGTCCATAGACACAAACTACACCTCTATTGGTGCTATTTCCAAGCACATTGTGCGCTGTCGGTCCTGCTTGCTGCACAACAACATTCAATATTTAGTATTTACTGCTGTTTACACTTAGCTAGATTAACGTGATGGTGTTGTGTTTAGTATGTTGCTCTGATTTTTGCTTGTTTTCTCTTAAGTTTCCTTTCTCACTGTCCCTCTTCCCTTCTGTTTTTCTTTTCCTTCCTCTTTCTCTCTCCCTTTCCTATCCCTCAGTCATGTCTGTCCCGTCTGTAACAACTGAAAATAAAATAAACAATAACAACAAAGGTCGATCAAATGGACCAATATGGCAATGCCATGATGATCCATTTGGCAAAGTAAATCCATTGGGTCTCCTTGTTGGTCTTCAGACAACAATTCTGACGGCTAAAGAACCAAATGGGACAGGCTAAAAAGAAAAAGGTGACACTCTGCACTGGTTGCCAGTGTGTCACAGGGCTTTGGATTACTTCATATATTATCATGCTTTTTACAACTACATGAACATACTATTGCTGTGTGATTCATTACTGAAGGTTACTCTCCACACCAACACCAACTAGATTTAAATCTTCATATAAATGAGTAACAGTAGGTGGACATTAGGTAAGGCTGCACTTTTTGCAGCGATCTCGTATAGAAAACTATTCCATGCGTATCTAAAACAGGTCCGCGGCTCCGAAGCGTAGTAAAGGACCTCTGGCTAATACGCCGGGTTCGTGTCGGCTCGTAGCTGAAAACTAGCTTTACTTTGTTGTCTGGGTCACTTTGCTAGCAGAGACAGAGAGAGGCGTTGAAAGGCTGCTGCAACGGAGCTTATTGTTTCAGAGGAAACAGGAACACAGCGTACAGTCGAGTCTTAACAGCTTACTCACAGCTGGACCACACTGCCCATCAGGCTGCATTCTTTAGGGCGATGCCTGTAACTCTCTGCCTGTTGCCTTCCTATTAAAGAATTTTTTGAACAATAATTTTTAAAAATATTTCTTCACATCATTATGCGGCTGCAAGCAGAGGTGAGACAATGGCCGCGAGATTGAGACACGGGCATTTGAGCCTCTTAATGCGTGTTCTGTTCGGGTTTGTACTGGCATGGAATTACCAAAAACAGAGAGGGGACAGCCGAACATATGAAACAGGAAAAGACTGCCGTGTAAGCCCTTTATTTCAACAAAGTAACTGTACTCTGAATACCACCTTTTTAAACTGTAACAGAATACAGTTACTCGTATTTTGAATACATAACAGCGGTACATGTATTCCATTACTCCCCAACACTGCAGATAGTTACCCTAGTCTCACTAACTTCATGTCTTTGGGAGGAAGTAGTACACAAACACAGGGAGAACCTGGCCTGATGAGGGAATTGAACCCATAACCTTGACACTGTGAGGTAACAGTGCGAACCACCATGCCATCCGTTATAATTTCATGACAGCATACATTTTTTCTTAAAACCCTCACTTTGATAGTTCCAGCATTCCCAGTGTTTTGCTTGGACAGAGATGGCTGATCCCCGTACTTTGCTCCCCAGAGATTTAGTTGAAAACACATTGCTATCAAAGGCAGCAGCAGCATAGCTGTAGATTGTAAACACACATTTTCAGAAGAAGAGAATGAATCTCAGAGTAACACATTATGATATTCATATGTAGGGTGTCATTAAATACCATTTGGTTAGCAGGTGTATCGCAGATCTACTTCCTGTGCACCTACAACCAATTTCTAAACTCTTTAAAAGTTGTATTAATGACTTTCAAATCATTTTGTGTAGTGACTTTGCACCAGTGCAGGCAGGAGGATTTTGTGGTTGATTCACTTGCAGACAAAGAATCCAGCTTCAAGGTGCAGCTCCATTTGTGCATCTTTATGCTTCAGTAATCAGGCTAAACAGCAGTCAAGTCTAAAAACAAGCAAGCTACTCCAAGGCAACCTAAACAATTCAAAACAACTGACATGCACACAAAGTGAAGCGGCCAACCAAAAGTACACACTACACCCTATTTATGTTACCTTAACGTTTCCTCTTTATTAGCTGAAAGATATCCCACACGACATGCATGCCAGTTGTAACTCCAGGATGCAGTTATCCTTTTACATTAAGTCATGATTTCTGCCTCCAGCTGGAAACACACTTTAGTAAGGGGCCTTTCTTCGTCAGCAACTCTTCCCATTCCCGTCTTGTCAATGAAAAGAGTCATAAAGTTGTGCTTTATGTCAGACCACTTAGGTCTTTCCTACAATATTTGCTGAAGCAGGTATTCCTTGGAAAACCTCCATGAGAGATCAGCCATAGACTGGACCTATACTCAGCAGTGACGTGCAGATGTGATCCTTTTGAACTTCTCTTAGGAAGGAGGCAGGAAGGGAGATGTCTTTAATAAGAAGAGATGATTGGGAGCAACGTTCCCTCTAATGTTTCACGTGTCTGAGCGAACACACAAACTCCCTGAGCGTCCCTTGGACC